TACCTTCCAGTCTGTGTTTGTACAGCGCATATCGCGCACGTGCTTAAACCTGTAAACTGGGTTTACATCTCGATGGCAGACAAGATACCACGCTGTAGACATTCTTACTTGTGTTACGTTAGCGAGACTGGAAATCGAAAATCTTGCACGAATGAATGAATTCATGCACGGTCACTCTACATGATACTTAAACAAACTCATAAAGAATTTCACTGACGAGAAATTTAAGGAATTTTTCCAACTGTTTTTCTACCGTGCAAACTTCTCTGGTCCTCGATCAAAGATCGAAAAGACACAAGGCCGCGGTTTTGCTTATCTCCCGGTGTGCCCTTAATAGCACTTCGGAGATACAGATGTTTATTTTTATCCAGCGGAATGTGACAAATTTTAAGAGTTATTCTTCATCGCATGCACAACATTCAGTAAATCTAGACTGAGAACCGTTTTACGCTTTTGCTTGAGTAAACTATCGCACGGTTAAACAAAAAAGGTACCTGAGTACGTGATACGACTTGATATTTTCGCAGATCATAAACCTTTTCGTGACAACGCATGTCAAAGAAAACTCCGATTCAAAAGGTCAACAAGTGCAATCTCTTTACGTGACTTAAATAAAAACAGGAATTGCCTTTGTTAATCTACAAATAAACACAAGCGTTCAATAGCTTTGGAATACGCACTCTTCTGTTTCCACGTTTAATATCAAATACTTCCTTGAAAGCAGATGTTGAGCATTCAATGTGAAGGGTGAATATTCCCAAATTGGATATTCCAGTCAACGTTCGCAGTGTGGAAAACTCAAAATTCTTAAAGGTACTGTTGTAGGAATCTGTTTGCTTTTAAAATGTAGGCATGTTCTGCCATTTTTCGGTGTTACCCTACTCTGCAGCTCAGTTTCAAATCGCAACCTCTTTAGTCCTGGGCATCCGTTGAATGAATCTGTCTCGGTTATTTTCCTCTTCTGAATACCTAACGTAGTTTGTTCTATTTTCCCTGCTTCTTCGTCATCTTCTCAAATACTAATCAAGTCTTGTTTTAATAGCTGACACAGCAGTTGAAAAGTATTTTGTGATATTTTGTGAAACTGTCTTTATCATTGCCTTAACTGACTCGCATATTCACTTCACAATATTAGTAAGATTCAAAGAGGTACAGTTTGAACCGGGGGAGGGGGACCACTCCCATATATGGGTTATATAGGTATGTACGGCCCCAAAAGGTAGGGACTTTCAGCCGTTTTGGTCATAAATAGGGTGTCGATTTTGGCCATGTTGGCTATAAATAGGGTATGGTTTTTGAACACTGGTCTTGAATTGGGTGTGTTTCTTAGAAGAAGTTACTTTTTCATCATTATCAATAAGACCGTCAACAAAAGCCCTTCATAACTTATGTTTAGGCCAACTGTGTCAGCCGCAACGGACACCAATATGCTATGGAATTTTTGGTCAGGTCATAAATAGGGTAGGAAAAAATGCAGATTTTGGACATAAAGGGGATAAGGGTTTTGGGAAGCGGGCTGCACACCCCAATCCAACTTTTCTGGAAGTAACCCCCCCCCTCCCCCCCCAGGGGAGTTTGAATCAATCAATATCAATCTTGCAAGTTGGATGCCCGCAGTATATATTTCTCTTTCTTGAAATCTGCTAGGTCGGTCACTTTAGATATAAACATGACCAATTCTCGGTTTTTCTTCAAGGTATATTTCTTCAAATAATACCCTACACGGTTAATCGTGCGTTGCTTCACGTTCGTAATCACATGAACGGCCAATTTACAGACTTAGGTCAAGAAGACAGGAAGATCAGTAAGATATCTCACGAGCCACAACAGATCAGTCCCAGTTAGTCTGGTTCAGTATAGTGCTTTTGAGTGGTACACCGTGATACACCGCATGGGACACTTTAGTGACAGAACGCCACATGTAATGTTCGTTATAAGAATCAGCTCACCGTGTTCTGTTGCAAATCGGCGCATCTGCCAGATTAGTTTATTTATCTTTCATAACGGTATTTGTTGATAACAGCATGATATTGATTGCTTGATGGTCTTGACAGAGAAAATTGTGGGCTTATAAAGATACCTATAATTGTACGTTTTGGACTGTCATTCTTCGCGTTGTCTATTAAAAACTATTTTATAGTACACTAGGTGAACTTGCCCACGATGTCTATGAGCAGTGAGCCAACTCAGATCAACTCAATTGCATGTCGTCAACCATTCACTAACTAGTATTCATTTACTGTCCAATATCGAAGCAACTGATTTTCTTTCGTTTCATTGGCTATTTCTTGCCCATGGCAAATTGCTAATCGCACAGACAGCACAATTACTACTACAATTCCTGTTGTTGGCTGATTGATGTCAAAGAAAAATGATTGACGTCAAGGAACTCCAAAGAGATGTTTTTTTTGATGGGATTCTTTTTGAAGCTTACGTTGATTGAACTACAGGTATGTGACAAGAACAGACTGCCTTGAGAGACTTGAGAGGTAAATGACGTCAATTAAAGACGAAAGAAATTCTCATTGATTGAAAAAAATGTTTAAAGAATTATCTCCTTGGCTTATCAAATAGTTGCATGCAGACATATTGGTATTTTATTATTATTTTGCCTAGCGTGTTTGCGGTGTTATGCGCCTTTATATAAACTTTGTCCCGTATCAGTTTGCAAAAAAAAAAAACAATATCCCTCGCCGGCCTCTCTTGTCAAACCAGTACTATATCAAGCTAACTTCTCTTTGGTCGTAATAGTCGAATCAGCCAGTCAGCAAGTTTTATTTTTCACATTTTTAATGATCCTGAACTGACCTCTTTAAAACGTGGATTTATTAATTTTCCTGTGACAACTAGTTGTTGTTCACTCTTCCTTTTCTGGAAATAAAATGAACAGGCCTTTTCTTTTAACACCTGACAATAAAGTGAATTTAGCGCTTATCTGAGCAATCAGCTATAGACGATTGCCTTTCGACAGCCTTTTCGCAATGTCTATACACGTCTGGCCGATTGGAACTGAATTAAAAGCGTATATGGTAAACAACACGATTAGTCAATCAGCACCTGAGAGTGGAATGTTGGCCGGGTTTGTCTTATCTCGTCTTACTACAACAATGAATACTTAGATTAGCAAGCAAGGCAATCGCCGTGGAAAGAGAACTTCTACCTAAGGTTAGCATGTAACCAGTAGTTCTAAGTGCAATTGATTATTTCAAACTTGGTTATTTCGAATTCCCGATTACTATTTAGAACTTCCACACTATTTCCTTTGGATTTGCCACTGCGTTTTTAGTCATTTACTATCGATCACTTCGAAATTTCGGCAATTTCGAACTGATTTCTGTTGTCCTTGGCCTAAAATCAACCCCGTTATCATATCAAATTCCGTGACCATTGGTGGAGTTCAAAAATAAATATCATCATTACGTCAGACCACCTTAGAACATAGGTGGAAAACTACTATAGGCTTTTCATTGCACTTTTTAAAATCTTGTCTTGTAACGAACTTCATCCAGTGGTGTTGTCATCCTACTCTTGGTCAGTAGAAAAATACATTGCATCATGTTGATTACATATTAATTTAATACGTATTATTTAACGCTGACCATGTTATTTCGAATCCCCGCTATCGCGAACTATTTTTCTTTTCCTCTCAGAGTTCGAAATAGCAGTGTTTTACTCTAGCACTGCATGATAACTTGTACATTTGCACCTTCGTTATGAATTTTGTTTGTGCTGATCTTACTTGGAAGAATTTAAAGTCAATACAATTGTTTTACAAAAACAAAAAAAAAAACAAAGCTAATTAAAGAGAGTCTACAAAGAAGGAAGGTGGATGAATCCTTGCTATAAATTAAGCGCAATGTTCAAACGATTATCTCTTATTCTGTTCTCAAAATCAACACTTATTTTCTCATTGTTATTAATCATGTATTTCTTATAATTTCTCTTAAGAGAATTTACTGCTCAGCTGGTGTCTTTCGTGGGTTGATTCACTTTTCGTACTCTATAACTTCATAATTAAATATCCTATGACTTGGTTAGGCATCGATTAAAGAAGTTAATAAATTGAAGTGAAAAAGCGATTGTCACTTTGTGTAAAAGGCTCTTAATCGTCACTTAAACTCTGTAAAGTCACAAGACTAGGTCTCGTGTGAAACAGTTGTTCCTACAAACAGATGCCTCAGATTTTTCGCATCTTCTTTGAAGCATTTCTGCACTGAGAGCTTGATTGACTGTTGTCTACAGAATCCTCAGACAGACGTAAGGGAATTTTTTCCGAATTTTGAGTGACAAATGTTTCAACATGCTCTTAAGTTTTCGGTGAAGCATGACAAAATTGCAGACAGAAATGCAGTGTCGAGTTTACTCATTTCATTTTGATTTTGAAATTCCTAAAGATAGTTTGAAAAAGTTCCTTTCCAATTATAGAACTACTTCAAAGCGCAACATATAGGTTGGTTTCGGTCGGGCAATAACGCGCATTCAGCTTTGTTAAAAACCTGCCCGCGGGGTTATAAGTTAAGAGACCGTCCAATATTTTGAATACTTGCAGATTACTGTCGACATGTGGAGAGGCTTAAAGCAATTGTGGTGTCATGAACGCGCCACTTTAAATTCATTCCTTCGTATTTACCTTTGGACTTTGGGCCCAGAAGACCTTTAAAAATAATATTTACCTCTGATACTTGGACCGCAAGAACAATAAGCACCTTTCACCATAAGTTGTCGTTTAGCGTAGGATATTGTAACTGACTTCCCAAACAGTCTAATTTCAAGAATTACTAACAGTCGGTTCGGTTCCGTTTCACGAACTACTGGTTTAACCTTTTTTTTTTTTCCTGACCTCACTTTTTTCAGAGATAGTTTTCGGGCTGATAATTAAGTTGAAGTTATGCTCAGGTTTTGCATGTATATATAGGGTATGTGAAAACGTAAATGATACCACAAACTCTTAAATATCTTGTATATTGGTGAAATAACGGACAACACTAATGTCACTAATAATATTGTTTTCCGAAAACTGGATTTATAAACAACAGAAAAATCTAAAACGGAAATTGTATCATCTAAAATCGCCCGTTTCATTTTCGCACAGTTTAAGATTCGAGTTAATCAATTAGAACTCAATTTGCTAGGTCATGACTCATTGTTTGGTGTACCTCCCCCAAGGTTATGCCCCTGAGGGCCTAAGCCAGGGCTAAGCCAGCATAGCAATTAGACACTGTATATTTGGGCACTGTTCTAAACCCCATGCTATGCATGCAGTACATGTGATTTACCTGTGAATTCTACATAGTTGCGAGGGAAAAAAAACAGAAAAAGGTGTTCCTAGAATTAAGCCAGCCAGTTATCAATTATACTGATCAGTAGCTGCCGTTTTTTACTGTCATTTGCCACAAGTACATTTCCTGCAGCCAACAAGTCATTGCTAAAATAAGCAGTGACCGAACCATGCAAGCTTGCGGCATACGGAAATAGGATTTGAGGAGGCTTTAATACGACGAGCAGTTTCAGTACATCCGTCCGGTCACCTTGTAAGCCTGAAGAGCACGCTTGAGCTGAGTGTCGTACAAATCTTTAATTTTAACAGAAACACCGGAAAGCTTCCTCAGTACGGGTTGTTTTCTAAAGGAAAAGTTGTAAAGACACCTGTAAAAGTAGCTTTGATACAACTCTGACCGCTGGCGAGTGTTTCCAAACACAAATGTTTTATATCTAGCTCAACAGAGAACTGTTCTTGTTTTCTTCTTGAAATGTAGGGTATTTTTTAGTTGTTACTCAAAGAATCGTATTAAAGCGAGTTCACTGGGAAGGAGAAGAATTAATTCACGTAATGTGAACGGTTTCGAGCCGGTGGGCCCTTGATTCGCGTTAATTTATGAGGGGGACGTTTCCAATCTCGGCAGAATGGACGTTTCGATTCATGCAAATTTAAATACACAACTAAAAGATTTTTTTATGCAAATCGCCCATGGCACATTGACTAAGTAAGTTGATTTCAGAGCCTGAAGCGAGCGCCATTTGTTACGATCTATTTTTACTCTCTCCTATGAATGGGCGTCACGGTTTGTTGCCTAAATTGGACCTTCCCATTCAGTCACATGTCGCGCGGTATATAAATGGTCACTATAAATAGCATTTGTTCTTAAGCGCGCGCGCCTCAGTCACACCCACCCCAGACCAACTCATGTGACCTGAATTTCACAAACCTGATCGGTTCGCAGTTATATTTTAAATTACCGATTGCAAAACTCTTCTACGGGAAGATTCGTTTCAAAAATAGATGAACTGTTCCACTCTAGGCTATCAGATTGTGATGGATATAGACAGCAATCTATTATCTAGCAAGATAAATATGTGAGAGCCTGGAACTTTCTATTCAAAATTGCTGTATACACGGTATGATCAGTCATAAACGGGACAAAGACAGAGATCAAATTAAACAATTTGCACCCGAAGAACAAAAGTGCAAAGCCTCGATAAATTGTCTCGAAGTATCACCAGATTTCGAGACCCAACAAGGACAAATAAATGCGTCGAGCTTTAATAGACTAAAAAGGCTTAAATCAACCATGCCTGGGTATGCCAATCACAAGGTGATGGTTATCTGTCAACGACCAAAATAGATGTTATGTTATGTTTTCATTCTAATGTGTTTGATGCCACTCTTTCGCTCGGGTCAGTAATCACACTTGATGTGTTATTGTTACTGAAATGCTACACAAAACAGACAAGATTTTTTTTGTCATGTAAATGTAAAAGGGCCAGTTTTCAGTGTGCCTCCAACGTTACCGTAAAAGGATTCGAATGGAAGCATTTCTTTTCTTGGGTTGTCCAGTGTTTAAATGCTGAGGTCCAGTTCTTGTATTCCGTCGCAGCTTTACCGTAAATAATAAGCAGCCCTTTTGACTTTAATCCAATCAAGCAAATCGTCTGAGCAAGCATATATTTTGCTTTGTAACAAGTATTGTTCACTTGTCTCGCGCCCTCAAGTGTGACGTCAATGTAAAACGCCCTGAAAACACCTAAATCAACATTGATCGACATTGATTTGTTTAGCAACGTTATCACATAGTTAAACGGTACTTCTTTGTGTTTCTTTACTGCAGTCTTTGACGTCAATACAGCTTAATTTCCTTTCAAAACAACTTTAAGCAGTTGAGTCGATTTTGTATATGCTGATGAGTAGGGATGTAAAGTCTCTCCGGCGAATCGCCTACGCGTAATCAATGTAATGTTATGAGTAAGAATACGCTCCCTGCCTTCACAACGACAATACCGACTTCCTGTCGAGCCGGATCTGTACTTAATATGGACGTTTTGCGTATATACAAGTAACCACAGGTTTTCGCAAGATTTCATGAAGCGTGAACAAATGTTTTAGAAAACACTTCATTCATCTCACAGCAGTGCTGGTGCGTAGAGGAAAATTGGATCACACGCACGCCACGAGAAAATCTTCTTATCCAGCTCAGGTAAAAACTACTCAGCTTTATCGATTATCGTTTCTCTGTTTTTTTATTCATAACCAAACTAGTGAGAACGACAACAAGACAGGTAAATTCGGCGTGAGAAGAACGCGCGCGGTGTGCACGCGACGCGGGTAACGGCTTTCGAGATATCTTCCCCAAATTCGTGTCTTAAAAAATTCTTAAATAGTTGTACAGTGAATGCAGCTTTAGTGTAGAAAAGAACAGTTGCAAGAAGAGTGAGACGCATAATTTTCCAATGGCTGTGTTCAGCTTTTCACACGTGGTTTTTTTAATTTGTGCTCGCGTGACTGGCGAGCATTGTTATTTATCGTTTGATCTCCATGTGTGGCATCACAGCGCGAAATCATTTCTTAAGTTTGCGAGGCAATTTTCACTTTCCTTCCGCAAACCCTATCTCTTAGTAGCATGCAGTGTTAGTTCACTACTTTTAGTAGCATCAGTACCGTCAAAGACAGGTTTTAAACCAAGTTTAATCCTCAATTCCCGTAGCACATTGCCGGAAGCGAGAGAGCTACAGAAACTTGTACGTTTCCGTAATTTGTCGAACTCACTCAAATCAATGCGGAAAGCTCTCGCCATTCGCAAGACGTGTTTCCTAGGGAATTCAGACTTCCTATTGCCCTCAGAAAAAATGACTTGAAAAAGCAATCATTCTTGTTTTAACTGTTGATTTGTAATTCAACAAAGTTTTAAATTACTGTAGTGAGGAGGGTCACTTTAAAGAGCCGCTTTTGTACTCCACTTCCGAAAGACAGTCAAACAACATTTCGTGAATAAATTTACGATGTTATTCATAATATTGGAATGTCGTGGTATGTCGCGCTATTACACTGCATATTCGCGGTTTTGTCTGGCATATTCTCTTGAGGGTTGTTGCATCCTTGTGGTAAACTGATTAATTTGCAAAACGCGACCAAAAAAATAGTCATAAATTAGGGGAAACCAACGCGGGAACTCAAACAGGCGTTCGGATTAATTTGCCGAAAATGCAGGGAAAAAATGCTAAAAATTAAACGGCATCATTTGACACCGATATTTATGAAGTCTGCGGACCCAGTCAAGTTTCCATAGTAATCCTTCAACCAATCACACAACGCTTCAGCCTGGCACGATCGCTATGTGTCAATTAAGTTAATTTTATGTCCTAAAGGGGTGGACTATGTCATTTTCTAATTCTTTCGCACGGCAAACAATAAATTTGGCAAGCTAATCTGTCTGTCCCTTATCACGGCTTCTCAACAATTTCTATGTTTCCTACAGGTTTTGGAAATCGTGCAGGGCCAGAGAGAACCCAAGCGATTTAGCTCGGAGGGAAAATATTGTTGAAGATTCTCCGAATTCTACACTCGCGGATCGGAAGTGTTATTTTGGGTCGTAATAACTCCCGAGTGAGTCGATACCTTGATGTCTTTTGTGGAATGTCAAATATCCAATTGCGTGAGCAAGTCTTCTCATCTTTAACAGACTAGTTTCATCTCCGCTCAAGCTTCGTTGTGTCGATATTTTATTCTAGCGCAGTCATCACAGACAAGAGAACGTCTGGGAGCCCAAATTACGATTCAACGTCAATATTCCCGGTTAGAGGTGGACAACGTGAAACTGAATTCTCACTTATTCAACAATGGAATTTGAGAATCTTGAGCTGGCGTATCAACGGAGATAATTTCATCGCTGAAGGGTCGGGCTCTTGCAAGACTTTATTTTGGGATCTGTCGAGATAAGGCCATTCACACAGAGCTTTATTGTGGTTCGACTTGAATTCAACGCTTCTCAAATCTGCGATCACAAAGAAAACATTGACACATACATAAACTTCGACTAAAATGGCGGAACGGGAAGGAGAACCAGCCAGGAAAATCGCGTTTGTTGGCAACAGTCAGCAAATGCTGCGAGACATTAAACAAAGTTTGAGGCACCTAAAAAGGCAACCTGAGCAGCAGCGACCAGAGGCAACTAGGATTTCACAACAACCGGCGACTTCAGCCGGGTCCAATTCGGTTACCGTTGGAGAACCGAACGCAACCAGACCCTTGGCACAGAATCCAAACCGCCGGATAAGTCATGCGAAAGCTTTGGCTGAGATTAGGAGCAGTTTAAAACCCTTCGAGACTACAGAGTCTGGCTATTCCTCCTGCTCCGAAAGCGGAGAGTCAATCAACAAACAGTTTTTTAGTACACTCAAGGCTCTGGGCTTCGATGAGGTATGTATCATGGAAACTGCACTTTCAATTTAATACGCTTTTCTTTGCTATTAGGTCATGGGATTCTTATGTTCTTAATGTTTCATTTTTTGATGCATATGTATTATGGCTTCGCTGCAAAGTGTTCACGCCGATTCGTCAACGGGTTTACAACGATAAATTCATACCGTACATGGATGTCGTATATTTACATCTGCATAAAATACACAAGAGGGATTTCTTGTGTTCCTCATTACGTCGCTTTTCCTGCCATCGCTCGATTTGCAACAGATGTCATCATGTTTGCGGGCAAATATAGTTTCATTTAAAGCTGATCTCCTCGATCGCATCTTCTGTCTCGTGTGTTTTTTTGCCGCCGGTGGATTCGCGTTATATTTCAACACCGCTGCCTCGCATTATCTCAAGCATTTCAACTCTGTGCCAAGTTGTAACTTTGCTTCAAAGTTTGAATGTACTTTGCCCGGAAACTCGGGTCAAAGGGCTGGCTCCTGTAGATTCTTTTCGATTTCTGGCTTTTATTTTGTTGCTTTGAATAGCTGTCGTTAATTTCATGCCTTCCTTTCACTCACGCGGATAAGTGCACGTGAGAACGGACACAAGTGAATGATCATGCGTTTCAACTCGAAAGTTTCTAAAATTTAGCTTTCTTTCTCGTCTCCGGCTGTAAAATCAGCACTGTGCTTAAATGAACATGAGGGAAGGAGCTCGAAGCCCTGAGTTTTCATTACTTGAGTACCCATTTGATATGCTTCAGCTTAAAAATAGCTGCCAAAATATGATGATTGAATATCAAATTACGAGACATTTTTGAAATCCCGGAAAATCTTTGATGTTGACCAGTTGATTGAAATCCGTGCTATGTTGTAAAACACATGTTTTCTATTTCTGTCTTTCTGGGTTAATTACATTTCGAAATTTTACATGTCATAAATCTGACAGTCCAATGTGATCTCTTATTTCAGGAGACAGCCACTGAAGCCATAAGACTGACTTCTAACAGGCCTTTGGAGGAATCATTAGACATCATTACACAGTTGGCAACAGCACAAGGTTACAACAGAGTAAATTTTGGCTCAAATGCTTCAAATAATAATCGCACACAACTTCCTCCTCCTTATAATGCTGCCGTCCATCGCATGTCATGGAAGGGCTCAGAAGAATCACTGAACAGTCCTAAGCGAGCTGAGTCCCCCATGATAGCCATGGAAAGTGCAGTGCCAATGGTACATCCTCCTAAGAGTACAGTTACAAGTTTTAGTGGACAGGCCAGTGGAAGGGCATCTTCATCAGAGGCCACAAGGGCTGAATGGCATGTCCAAAGGAACCCCGCATTGGTTGCACCACAACCTTGGCAAGGCGCTCACATGCCAGCACCTCCTCAGCAAAGATATGTGGAGCGAACTGGTCCAAACATGCAACTCGGATGGAAACCAGTGACTGTATCTGGTCCGAAACCAGTTCAAGGAATCAGTCAAAATCAAACTCAACATGTTAACAGTGCTGTTGGAAATCCTCCACCACCTCAATTTCACGTAACTGCAAACCTTACTTTAACTGGAAGTAATTCTGGTAGCGAGAACTTTCAAGGGGGGAGAATGGGAGCAACATGTGCAAATGTATCGTCCAGTGGGGCAAATGCCATGTCCTTCAACATACTTGTTCAAACTAATTTTCCACCAAGTTCATCTGGAAGCATCCAATCATCAAATCAAGGACAATTTTGTCAAACCTCACCTCAACACCCCAGTGTTGTTCAAGGATCACACAGTGGTGATGTGTTATGTCACTCTCCTGTACCAAGTACATCTCAGGCTCCAGTGCCGCACTTTGTACAGTCATTTGACCCAACACTTCATCCTCCACCTGCGTATGCTCCTGTACCAAGAAGACCATTCCCATGTTCAGATGTTAGCATGTCAGAGACCACCAGTAATTGGCAGAATCATATCCCACGTGTTTCATCAAGATCACCAGTTCCTCCCCCAGCTCCAGAACAGTGGAGGCACTCCTGGAACACAGAAACATCATCAAACTCTGGATCCATCAGTGATGAAATGCCATGGTCTAGTTCACATAATGACAGTGGGCCTCCGTCGCCATTGTCAGACTCATCATTCACAATAGAGGGTCCAACAAAGGTAACAAATCCAACTGGGACTGTTGTTTACCGTCTTGACTCACCTAATTCTCGTAAACGACCTCCAATTCCAACCATGGATGGTCAGGAGAACAGACTACCAGCAATGGAAGATGATGACCAAATGTCGGAGTCTGATATGGAAATGCTCACTCCAGAACAACGATATAAACAATTCAGAGACAAAAACTCAAAACTAAAGAAATGTTCTCCAGCAGCGACAAAATTTTACTTTGAACAACACTTTGAAAATTTAATGAAGGACACAGAGGAAAGACAGAAGAGACGCTTCCAGTTAGAAGAGGAAATGCAAAAAGTTGGACTTTCTCAGGATGCTAGGAACCAAATGCGACAAATCCTAGTGCAGAAAGAGACCAACTATAACCGCTTAAAGAGATCAAAAATGGATATAACAATGTTTGAGAAAATAAACAAAATTGGAACTGGTGCATTTGGAGAAGTTTGGCTCGTCAGAAAAGTAGACACAAACATGTTGTATGCCATGAAAATCCTACGGAAGACTGAGGTCCTGAAACGCAACCAGGTAGCTCACGTTAAAGCTGAAAGAGACATTCTTGCAGAGGCGGACAATGAATGGGTTGTTAAGTTGTATTACTCATTTCAAGATGCAAAATTCTTGTATTTTGTGATGGACTACATTCCAGGTGGAGACTTGATGAGCCTTTTGATTAAATTTGAAATCTTTCCTGAGGATCTGGCAAGATTTTACATTGCCGAACTTGTGCTAGCGATTGAGTCGGTGCACCGAATGGGATTTGTTCATCGTGACATCAAACCTGACAATGTGTTGATTGACAAAGATGGTCACATCAAACTCACTGACTTTGGTCTTTGCACGGGTTTTCGCTGGACACACGACAGCAAATATTACGAGAAGGATGGTCATGACAGACAGCCAAGTATGGAGTATGGCATGCTCCCATGGGATCTTCCTCCTGAGTGGAATGATCATCTGATACAGAAGTCACTATTAGAAATGAAGCCACTGGAAAAGCGGCACTTTCGTAAGCACATGAGAAGTCTTGCCCATTCCTTAGTGGGCACACCCAACTACATCGCGCCAGAGGTATTGCAAAGGAGTGGTTACACACAGCTTTGTGATTGGTGGTCTGTGGGAGTGATAATGTATGAGATGCTTGTTGGACACCCACCATTTCTTGCTTCCACACCTGCAGACACTCAACTCAAGGTAAGGAAACACTACTTTAAATTTTCAGATCTTTCTTTCAGTGGTAGCAAAGTTTGGCCATTGCGATGGGATAGGCTGACTGTCCCTGAGTGGTAGTCAAAATTCTCTCTGGACCATACTGATGTATCTTGTCAGCTGGTCAGCTCTCCGCCCCCTCCCCGCCCCTTCCCAGCTTGGATCTGTGCCTTGTTCATTACCCAAGTTCCATGTTATTTTTCTTTGTTGTTCCATATTATCATTATTTCTGTCTTAAACTATATTATATCATCACAGCTATTCCTTCTCGGCTCATTACCAATTATTTATTAATGCTTACATATAAACTCCCCTGTAGTTCCCCCCATATAGTTTCCTTACAAGTTGGAGAATACCTCACTTTGTGGACTCTTTTGTTTGTACCAATTAGTAATGGTGATAATTTTTTGTGTGTGTTTAGGTCATCAACTGGGAAGCAACACTGCATGTCCCCAGGCAGTCCCTTAGCTGGGAGGCCAGAGACTTGATCTTGAAGCTCTGCACAAGTCCAGACAGAAGGCTTGGGGCAAATGGAATTGAAGAAATTAAACAACACCCTTTCTTTGCTAATGTGGACTGGGGCTTTGGTGTGCGTCGCATACAAGCGCCATACCGTCCACAGATCTCCTCCCCAACAGACATATCCAACTTTGATCCAGTTGATGAATCAGAGAGAATGAGCAGTGATGAAGAAGCTGCTCCTGTTGCGAGTGAGCCGGTACCACCCAGACAGGGCCGACACCCTGAGCATGCATTCTATGAGTTCACATTTAGAAGGTTTTTTGATGACGGTGGAAACAGCTATGTATCAGCGCGCAGATACTCTTCTGATGACAGTGGCAGTGACACTAGCAAAGAACCAGTGTATGTTTAATGTATCAAGTCTGTGTCCAGTCTTAGATTTGTAGCTGTTACGTGTAAACATGAGCTGGAAAGTAATATTAGCTCTCAATTGTTCAAGTTAATAGTCTTGTGCAGTTAGAATTTGGCATTTCCCTTTCCCTTTCTTACCTGTTCCTTTTTCTCTGAAATTACCATAAATGGTCTGCTTTTCCAAAATTTTTTTTGAACTTCAATTATTTATTAGAAAACCTGCAATGTTTGCTTCTTTCTCGTTGTTTCTCAAATTTTACTTTGAGTTGTTTAGTTAATTTTGTAGTAACACACAAAAATGTATAAAGTGGGATGTGTGGAGTCGAGTGTGGTTCTTATATGCCACCGTGGCACTGCTGACCACTTTGCCTGTGGAACCACCACCATGTGGCAAGTCAAACTTGACTTACTTTCACAGGAACAGTTCTCAGCTGGTGAGCAATAGTCACATGGGCTGCAACAGTTTCTCAGTCAGTATCAGTAACTATAGGTTGCTTACATGTCAGGCATGCAATCACTACACTTGATTTAGTTTATTCAGTTCCATGATTTCTTGACCACTTATGTCCCACAATGGTAAATTTATGAAAAACAGGAATATTTTAATTCTATCAAAGAAAGTTATATCACGCTTTGCGTGCCTAAAAGTAAGACTTGTAGCACAAACACTTTTGCACAAAACACTTACTAGAGACCTTTTTTAAGAGGAGGAACATTTTCCTTTTCAACATTTTGTAACCCTGAAGGCGGTCGGTACCTATGTCATATATTTGAAATGAGAATTTCTCACGGAGAAATAGTCTGTGTATAGTTTTAATTTATAACACTGTTGAGTTTTCCAAGGAAAAAACAGTTTCCTTTACTCGCCATAGCAAAGAAGGAGGGAAAATAAATTGTTGAGAAAAGAACAGAAGTGTATTGTTTTGCTGTTTTGATTTTACATGTGCTATGGGCGCAATGGCTTGCCTATCATCTCCCCACCTTATGAAGTTGTGAATCTGGTTCGGAAAAGTAATTGAATTCTCCAATGGTGAATTATGCAAACTAGTGGAAAGAGTAAAGAGAATTTGGATATAAAAGGGGCTAAATATTTTAACAAATCAAGTTTTGCTGGTCACGCAATTTCTGAGGAAAGATGACTACGTGACAAGCAGAAATTATTTCGTGACCAGCTAAATTCACTCGTGTTTTACCTCGATCCCAGGCTTTCTCCCCTTTACCTCCCACGTCAAGGGAGGGAGGCAAATAAAGGAGGGAGAGCCTGAATTGAATCGAAGTCAACTCTCGAACTGCTTTTCCACAACCGCGCAACTTTGAAGAATTTGGTCACGACGCCGCTGCTCAGCCGCAGTTGTGATGATAACCTATATTTTAGCATTTCTACCTGCTATCAAGTCTAATGACTAGATATTAAAAAACCCGTCTGGTTCAGTTACTACAAATTGTGTAACAAAATATTAGAGGATCGAACAAAGTTCCCTGTAGTGTATGCCGGGAGTGTATGTGCAGGGGGCGTTTTCTTTGACACTGGGATCTTAGACAACTAAACAAATAAGTCTTAAAATTGAACTAAGAAAAACCTCCACAAAGGTCGAAAAAACTATAGCATTACGAAGCGCAAGCCAGAAGAAATTAAGTTTGTTAAAAACTGCTAAGAGTTCTGGATCACGTCTTGTAAGCGCACGTTTGAAGCTTCTGACATCATTCAGTGAATAGCTCGAAAGATCGAGATTACAGGATAGGTAAAAATAACTCGACCTCCGTTTTAGTTGTCTTTCCAAATATGTTGCTTTAGCAGTCTGTGGTCATACCTACCACTGGTAAATAACGAGAAAATATCACCACTATCACCGCAGGCGATGACGCCTGTTTCGGTTTCATAAAAGAAGGTTAAGAGGTTAATTTTGTTCCGAACCACTTGTTCAGTGCCAGTGGTTTCGATAGCTCAACTCACCACTTTTAGACCCCTGTGTTACTCAACGTTATGCGTTGGAATATACACTTGAACCCCGTAAAGGGAAAAAAATGTTCTAGACGGTGGGGACGCGAGATAGGCGAAAGAAGATGACTAAATAGTATTTACAAGGGAAAATGGTTTGATTTCGAGATAGGGTGCAGTTCAAGGTATAACCGAGTTCGAAATAAAGGTGGCGAGGTTCAACTCTTTATGCTTTGAGTATGGATTGTAACCAGTTTTTACACATAAAAGCTTCGCCTAACTTTTGTATAAATCAACTTCTAAAAGGATTTCAAAACTAATTTCTTCCGAAATAACCGGATCAAACTTCTTTCAGCAATCACTCTCAGAAACAGAGGACTGTGAGAATATTGTGAACATGGCAATTCCACACAACGGAAGTCTGTTCCACAGAGAACTGGGAAGCGAAACGGAAGCACATCTTTCCTTTGCTGACCTTTGCTTACAGAAAACTTCAGTTGAAACGAAAAGCAGCGATTTCCTAATCTAAACTCGCTCTAACGCAGCTTAAATACTGAAAAGCAAAGGCAAATTGATTTCACTGCCTTCCGGTTCCAAAATTTAGCGGATGGGAGGGGCATGGTAGGTATTTGATTTAATCAGGAGAGGGCGTTAAGCAGATTATTGTTACAAGGGATGATTAAGCATCCTTGAGGCGACAATTAATAAGCATCATTTGTGTTCTTTTGCGATATAACGATGTTAGCCTGTTTAGCATGACTAGCAGTATTTCTCATGAGATGTCGCGTGAGAGAACACCGCGCGCGCCCCACGAAGCTGCTGGTTGCGCTCGTTTACACAAAGAGAATCGTCAGATCCTACGCCACGTGGAGTTTAGCGAAGAAGCGCGAAAACACGAGGAATAAGAGCTTGACACGACAGCTCCCCAGGGTCACGTGCGCTGAAACAGGATTCTTTGAGAGTAATAGGTGAAAAAAAAGAACGAGAAATCATCATGCATTCATCACTTCCAAACTAGATAACGCCAACTCGCTTCTATATGGACTACCAAAATTTTTGATAGATCGTATAAAAAATGTCCAGAATGCTGCGGCTCGCGTTGTTACCAGAACAAGGAAATACGATCATATCAAGCCGGTTTTAAAGCAGCTACATTGGCTTCCAATAAGCCAGCGCATCAATTATAAGATTTTACTTTTAACCTATAAAGCGCTCAACGGCCAGGCCCCTAATTACATTACTGAACTACTAGAGCCTTATGTACCAAGCAGAAATCTTCGATCCTCCTCCAAAAACCTCTTGAAAGTACCACCTGTCAAGTTAATAGGCTATGGTCATAGGTGTTT